TGACCTGCTTGCAGAGGATTTTATAGCAGGTTGTTAGTCATGCTACAAGCCAATTCAGCTTGGGAGTATTGTCAATTAAAATACCCAGAAAGGCAAATTACTGAAATTATTACATGTAGAGACAAAACCCTTCAACAAACAATTTATACGTAATGACTTAGAGCTATTAAATGCTTTTGCTACCGTGACGTTCAGTATTGAACTATTAACTGGGAAGAAAATTTTACAAACTCTGTTTGATTTAAGGCTGGATAAATAGTAAGACTTTGTAGCAAACCCTGCCACATACACACTTGGGACTGATGGACACAGGGCCTTTTGGAGACAGGGTCTTGTAAATTGCCCAGGCTGGGCTAGAATCTGTGATCCTTCTGCCTCTGACTCAAAGGGTGCTGGGATTACAAGAATGTGCCACCACACCCAACTAAGCCTTTGCAATTATTTGAAGCATATTTTCCCTAAATTTTTCCTTCACAAACTGTATGCTGGGCCAGGGATGTAGCTCAGTGGTGCCATGCCTGCCTGGCAAGTGCAAGGTCCTGAGTTTGATCCCTGGTTCCACAAAAACAAACAAACAAAACCAAAAAACTGTATGCTTTACAAAAATTATGATGGACTGAGTCAAATCTTCCCATTAATAATTCTATTATTGTATCATAACATCAGATAAAAGTATTTTTGTTGGGCCAGGATGTAGCTCAACAGCACAGTGCCTTCCTGGCAAGCAAGAGGCCCTGGGTTTGATTCCCAGTACCAAAAAAAAAGGGGGGTTTTTTGTTGTGTTTTGAGACAGGGTTTCACTATATAGTTCAGAATGGCCTTGAACTCACTATAAAGCCCATGCTGGCCTTGAAGTCACTGTCATCCTCTTGCCTCAGCCTCCCAAGTGTTGGAATTACAGGTGTGCGGCACCATGTCCAGCTAAAACTTTTTTTTTTTTGGGTACCAGGGTACCAGGGATTGAACTCAGGTCCTTGCGCTTGCACAGCAGGTGGCGAAACCACTGAGCTTAATCCCTGGCCCCGAGCTAAAACTTTTTATGGAAACTATATTTGTTTTTTGTTGTTTTTGTTTTTTGAGACAGGGTCTCACTATGTAGTTCAGAGTGCCCTTGAACTTACTATGTAGCCCAGGCTGTTCTTAAACTCTGCAATCCTCTTGCTTCAGCCTCCTGAGTACTGGCATTACAGGCATGTGCCACTACACCTGGCTGGAAACTATGAAATCAATTTTATTTTTCCTTGTTAATGGAGACTATGCTATAAGTAAAAAAGCTAAAAAGCATACCACTCTTTTTATTTCTAATAACTAAAGCTGATATTTATTGAACATTTACTATGTGCCAGGCACTGTGCAAAATACTTTTCTGAACATTATTGTCACAATTTCCTGGGGTATGGTATCACCATTTGGAAAAATGGTCGGAGAGGTTAAGAACATTGTACAAGACTGCTGTCTGAGCTAGCAATACTGCCATTCTTTCTCCAAATACGTTTCAATTGCTATCAAGTAGGCAACCTTAGATTCACTGAATTTCACCTCTACTTCCCTCCAGGACTCCAGGGAGAAGTGTTAACATAAAGTAACGAGGAGAACGGTATACAGAGAATAATCAAAGATAACTAAGAGTTCACCATATTATTAGACTGAGCCTTACTTACATAGCCTTTGTTTTACATTGAATTCTTTACATTGAGAAAAAATGATTTTTATTAAATATAAATTGGCATTTAAACCTCTAAATAGTACATTTAGAGGTACCTGGAGAAAGTCCCTGCTAGTAATTTAATTTGTACACATACTTACAATCTAAATAAAAGAGACGACTTCTCATTTTCTATCCCTGAAGCATTGATTTCTTGGATCCAGTGAAAATATATTTTTCAAATAACTGCATTTGGAACTTTTATAATTAATGTTATTCCTATTTGAAGGATGTCATGATTTATTTTCTAAATTTAATGACTTTATTATAAAAGTGTTTATGTTTATTTATACCTCTAAATAAAAAGTAAATAAGGTTCCTCATATTGGCGTCCTAATTTGCTTTCTTGCTTATAAGGAACTCTGAGTTTTTTTCTGGAAAAGTCTCAAAGCAAGAGTTTGGACTTTATCATTGGTTTCAGTCCCAGTTTTAGAGGTATGGGGATACAAAAGAAATTCTTAATCTGGAGACATTTGCAGTGGTTTGCATGGCTTTCTTCAGGAAGGAAGTCTCCTCTCAGGCTTCCGGACCCATCGTGGCACCCTTTAAATATAATATATACCAATCATTTTGCTCAGAATGTTTATGCTCCATATCTGATCACTTGGTGTTTAACATTCCACTGAAATGGATGGAATTTTATGGGAAATGGAATGAGTTAGTAAGCCTTGTCAAAACAGGGATTCTTCTCCTTCTAAACGTTGTTTAGAGCCAGGCACGGTGGCACAGGCCTGAAATCCCAGTACTCTGGGAGTCTGAAGCAGGAGGACGTCAAGTTTCAGCCCAGCCTGGTCAAATCAGAAATTTAGCTAGATCTTATCTCAACATGAAAAATACAAAAAAGGGCTTGGAAATGTAGCTCAGCAGGAAAGCCCTGGATTCAATCCTTAGTACAGGAAAAAAATTATTGTTAGTCCAAGGATAAATAACTAAAAAGATGCAAATTGTTTTCATTTATTTTTTACACACTGACTACAGTCTTAAAAAGTACAAATTTAATGGGCAAGACCTTTTCTCCTTTTTAAAAACATTTTTCTTTTTTGGTACTGGGAATCGAACTTAGGGCCTCACACTTGCCAGGCCTCTGCTTGCCTCTGAGCTACATCCCTGGCCCGTCTCCTTTTCTTTTAAAAAATGCAGAAATAGAAAAGGTTTTAGGGTATACTATACAACCATTCATATTATAGGTAAGAAAATCAAAACCCAAGTAATATGAGAGATCCGAGGTGAATTTTCAAATATAAATAACTTAGAGGGTTTGCAAGTGTATTTTTTCATTAACATTGCTTCAGATGTTTTCAACAACATCTGAACATTTTAAATTGATAAGAATAATCATATAACATTCAATTTTTCTTTCATATCTGTAGGGACAGGGATCTCTGCAGGCAGGAAAAGATAGGATAAAGGCCTCATTGAGCTTTTTAAAATTAATTAATTTTTTTGTTGTATCAGGGATTGAACTCAGGACCTTGCACTTTCGAGGCAGGTGCAGCACCACTGAGCTAAATCCCCGGCCTTCTCATGAGCTTTATTAAGATCCATAAGAAAGCTTACTAAAAACAGTTTCTGCCCTCACAGGTAGGTTCTGCCTTTAGGGTAATCAGAAAGAAAGGCACAGGAAGAGAAGCCAGCTAGACCTGCAGAGGCTCCAGGCACCAGTTACCAGGGAGGCCAGCTCCCCTCACCCATGGACAAAATGCAAGGGGATGGGAGATGGACAGACAGACAGACAGACACACACACACACACACACACACACACACACACACTCTCTCTCACTTTAACATCAGTATATATTGAACACACGTGTACACATGTCCCCTTTACTTAATCATTAAGTCTAAAGCTGCCTTTCTACAAGCCCTCCTTCCTTATTCATTACAAAAGGACAGGAAGAAACCAAAAGGCCAGAAGAAATGCCTAAATTCAGATCACAGCGAAGAGAGCAGATCAGCTAAGCAGATACGGACAAGCGCCCACCTGGGAGATGGAAGACCCTGGACCACCTAAATAAAAGGAGCTTGGGACAAGAGTTAGAGGGCTTTCAGCGCTGACGCCCCCCACCACCTCACTGCAGCTGTCTATTCTCTTTCTTCTCCATCTCTTTCCCCAAATAAACGTTCTTCTTTGTCTTAACTCTGCCTTCTTTAATTCATTTACTGAAGCTAAGTGTTACATTCCTGGCATGTTCCAGATGAGGAGCGGGGCGTACAGCCCACCCTGAGCAATAGTATTTTCACTTTAACATATAAGTTAAGACTTTTCCCTCAAAACATATCTCAAAAACAGTAAAATGACCAATGGAAGATTTTATTTACTTGGTTGGAAAACACATTCTTCAGTTTCAGTGTCGACAATCAGTTCTACTGCTTCAAGCAGCTTCTAATCTCTTTTAAAGGATTTGAAAATTATACACAACCTTGCATATTCTTAGCCAGATTAAGGTCTTTTTACTTGTACTGTCTTACGATATAGTGAAAGAATTTATTTGGTATGCTAAATATATTAAACTGGTCATTATTTTGGTGGGAATATTTACAAGCATTTGTAATCACTGATTTCTTGGAGTCGTTTCTTGTTATCTTCCTGGCTTTACAATTCCCAAAAATAAAGGTGCGGAAAACATCCACCCTCCTTTCCGAGAAACGACTTGAAGAGATCTATGTGGTGTAAACACAAATACAGACAAGTGGAAATCCATGGCTCTAAGATCAGTTTTGTTGCTAAACTTTTGTCGTTTCGTAAATAAAATTTTGCCGGTGTCCCTTTAGAGCCCCAAGCTAGTTTGCTTCCGCCCCGAGAGACAGGAGCCCCCACCCTTCGCGGACGCCGGAAACAACTAATATTTGTTCAATTTCAGGGCTCCTTTGTCTTCGGAAAATCAGTTCGGGCCTCACTTTAAGCCCTAACACCCGGCGCCACTGCCCTGCCTTACTCGTGACCCAGGAAAGCCACTGCCTCAGTAAATTCCGCGTCTGATTTACCAAATGCGGTCCCTCCTAGGACTTAAATGGCCTCGAGCATTACGCCAGCTTCCTTCTCTTCATTCCTCACTGCCACCCAAGAAAGCGTTAACGACAAAGTGACCACGGTCACTCTCAGCCGTTGTTGCAGCCGAGCCAGCCTCGCACTGCGAGGCGCCACTCTGTCTCCAAGCAGGACAGCCTCAGGGTGCGGCCAAGTCTACTGGACAGAGGACCAGAAGGGGTCTGAGTCCAGGCTTCCAACACCTCCAGACAGGAGGCGGGTCGGAATTCTGCGGGTGTCCAGCAGCCCAGGCTGTCTCAGCTAGACTTTCCCATCCGGCAGGGAGGATCAGGTCCCCAAACTCCGCAGCGGAACTACAACTCCCAGGACCGTAGCTACCCGGACTCCCGGAAGTCCATGCCCCTCCGGGCGGAAGTAGCTGAGACCCAGCCAAGAGGCCGGGGGTTAATTCAACTAGAAAAAGTGGGCGGGAAGGGCTGCTGGGCACCTGTCAATCCGCCACCATGAACGTGGTTTTTGCTGTGAAGCAGTACATTTCGAAAATGATAGAGGACAGCGGGCCGGGTATGAAAGTACTTCTCATGGATAAAGAGACGGTGAGTTTGTTTTTGCTCAGTGTTTGTAAAGGAACCCTCTCTCGGAATAATCGGTCCCTTCCACTGTAGGATTTGGTATTTAGGTAAAGATAATGAGGGTCAGTTCTGTGTGGAACTGAAAAGTTGTATGAAGCTTGCCCAGTGGATTTTCAGTCTGAATGGTTCGAACTGATGCCCAGGGACGACTTCCACCCCGAACGATGTCTCAGCCAAGAAATCATTAGTGTTTGAGACAGCACTTGGAAGACTTTGAGATGGCCCTGTTACTTCCATTCAGCATTGGGGTTTTAAAGTAAAGCTGTTGGAGCTTAAACTGAGATGACAGATTTGTTGGCCACAGAAAGAAAGAAAGAAATGAAATGAAATGAAATTTATGGATTATTTGTTTTCAGAAAGAGGATGTTTTCCATTCTGGTTCATTACAACCTGTACTGAATTTTTGTAAATACTATTCCATGTTAGGATTTAAATTAACCAGTTAAATTTTAATGAAAAACTGATTTAAATATCGATGCTTATATCAGTTATTCTGGACTAGAACAATCTTAGTTAATTCTTTTTCTTTACAGACTGGCATAGTGAGTATGGTATACACACAATCAGAGATTCTTCAAAAGGAAGTGTACCTCTTTGAACGTATTGATTCTCAAAATCGAGAGATCATGAAACACCTGAAGGCAATTTGTTTTCTTCGACCTACGAAGGTACTACATCTAAGCTGCCATCTACCCAGGCAAATGCAGAACACTCTGATCTTAAACATTAAGAAGGCCAAATAAATTTGTATTATCATCTGTGGTATTATAATGATCCTGGTTTATCAGAATTATAACTTTCATTCTTCTTTTCATGTCTCAGTTCACCCCAGTTCTTCCTTTAAGATGTTTTCTAGGTCACATCTACTCCCAAAGCCATTAACTGTTCTAACAAAGACCCACATCCCTTTATTCCTGGATTAACTTCCATACCTATCACTGAACACCATTGCCATTGAATCTTATAACAGTAATCAATCAGTGTCTCGAACATTTACCATTTATTCACTTCTATGCTCAGGAACCTATAATGGCTCTGGCTCAATTTTCCTTTCATGGTTAAATCTATATCTAATATATAGTAGTTAAAGGCCACCTTTAACTGGTTTGGTCTGACATTATGTACCCAACTTTTGTATATCCCAGTTCTTCTTTTCCACTACATCTAAGTAGGCCTTTTTACCATCTCTCAACATACTCATTTCTGTCCTTTATTTCTTCCCCTAATTAAGGCTCTTCAGCCACTTGTTAGCTTTTGTCCATCACCTTCTAAATCTAGCTTGAGTACTCCTTTAAAAATCCTTTCCTCTTTCAATCTTATTTCAATGTGTACCCTCTTGCTTCATTTTCATATTCTTCAACTTCAGTGCAGTTTTGCCATGCTTGTACATTATGTACTTTCTAAAATGCAAATCTGAGCATGTCACCCCAACTTGAAAGCCTTGATTGACTTCTCATTGTTTTTTTGGGGGGGGGGTCTTTTTTGTTTTATTGTATTTTTTGGTATTAGAGATAGAACCCAGTACCTTGCACATGCTAGGCAAGCACTCTGCCAGTAAACTGCACTGCCATCCCTTTTCATTGCTTTTATGATAAAGATAAAATTTCGGAGCCAGGTGTGGTGGTGCACACCTGTAAACCCAGCACTTGGGAGGCTGAGTCTGGAGGATTGCTGTGAGTTCCAGCCCAGTCTGGACTAAACAGTGAGTTTAAGGTCAGCCTGAACTACATAGTGAGACCCTGTCTAAAAACAAAACAAAAACCAAACTTCCTGTTGGCTGCAAAGTCCATTGTGGTTTAATTCCTACCATTTCTTCAGCCTCATTTCAAACTATTCCCCACTTCGTGTTGTGCACCTTAGCCTCACTAATCTTTCAGTCCACTGTATTTCCCTTTTCCATCATGCCACAGTACCTTTGCATAGGCTCCCCCCACAACTTCTTCACTTCCTCAAACACACCTTTCCCCACCTTACAAACCAGGTCAAACTCTCTTATAAGCACTTACTGCACCATCTTCTCCATGTCTGTTGTCATAGTTAAAGTTACATGGTTTTTGTGATTAGTATATGTTCACCTATTAGCAGTAAACTCCAGGAGAGTAGAGATGATATCTGTTTTGTCTCATTTTTATGTCCCCGGTGCCTGCCACACTGTGGACACTCAATAAATAGTTGCCGAATTGATAGATATGTTTTATTATGTCAATCTCCAGTTGTTTCACATTTGTAGCCCTTAGAGCCCTTAGTCATGAAATTTTCATTCAAGAAGGATCTTAGAGATTATTTAGTTATTTCCTAACATTTTTTATGAGAGAATCACTTTAACAGTTGCATATGATCTCTCAAACTCTGCTGACCTTCATTTTGTCATTTTTACCTGGTATATTATGAGGAAGTAATTTAGGTTTAAATTTTTTTTTGGTACAGGGATCGAACTCAGGACCTTGTGCTTGCAAAGCAGGCGTGGTGCCACTGAGCTAAATCCCTGGCCCCTAAAATTTGTTCTTAAAAACAGTATCTTTAAGATTATATCATAAAGTTAATTTTTAATACATTTTAAATCTAAATGACAATTTAAAAAACTTTTCCCATTTAATAAGAAATGTATCTCTTAAACTATTTTAAATACTGTAAAGAAATGATGTGATTTTAAAAATCATTAAAACAATACGTTTAGTTTGGAAGCCCAATTTATATTGAAATTTAACCATGTATTATATGTTTAAAATAGATAAAACCTGAACCAGAGATTTAGCTCAGTGGCACCACACCTGCCTCACAAGCACAAGGTCCTGGGTTCAATCCCTGGTACCAAAAAATAATTATAACAATAGATAAAACATGCATGATGATTTTGTGTAATTGGAATTCTCATGGTTTTTGTTTTTTGTTTTCTGTCTTTGGTTAGTTGGTTTTGTTTATTTTTTCAGACAAGTTCTCACTATATAGACTAGGCTGGTCCTGAACTCCATATGTAACCCCATATGTTTCTTGGTCTCAAACTCAAGATCCTCCTGCCTCAGCCTCCTAGCTGCTGGTATTACAGGTGTGCACCATCATACCTGGCTTCTCCTGTTTTGCCTTATAAAAATACCTGTTTTTTGCTCCTGACATTCATATTTTATTTTAAAACAATGTATAGACAAGGTCTTAGTCTGCTGTTTGCAAATACTTTACAACCATTGCAATTGTGCAGATTCTTAGGTCCCAATAAATTAAAACCTAAAATAAATATAACTAACTACATTTTCTCGTGAATGTTGATATTAAAAGGCTAGACAGTGCTCACTTCAGCACATGTACTAAAAGTGGAATGATACAGAGAAGATTAGCATGGCCCTATGCAAGGATGACATGCAAATTCGTGAACCGTTCCACAAAAAAAAGGCTAGACACATTTTAATGTTCTAAGTAAGAATTTTGGTCTGATGAATATGGTTTATAGACAAGCAGCTTGAGGCAAATTTATAGAATTATTAGCAGTTTTATTGTATTTCAACATGTGTCTTTTATACATTATCTAGTTAATATTTAATATTAAGTGTATAATTTATATGATTTTGGTTATTATATTTAATATATCTTTTTGTATATATATATATATATATGGTACTGGGGATTGAACTTAGAGCCTTCACACTGAGCTACATCCCCAGCCCATTTTTTAGTTTTTATTTTGAGACAGAGTCCCACTAAATTGCCCAGCCTGGGTTCAAACTTGTAATCCTCCTGCTTGGGCCTCCCGAAGTGCTGGGATTATGGGCATTATGGGCATTATGGGCATGATGGGCATGCTCCTCCCCCTCCCGCAGTGCCAGGCAGGTGGAGTGCTGCTGAACTACATCCCTGGCTACAGACGTGCTTTTTCACTTAATCAATTATCTTTATTTTCTAGGAGAATGTGGATTATTTGATTCAGGAGCTTCGAAGACCCAAATACAGTATATATTTTATTTGTAAGTATGTTGGTTCATTGTTTCAATCTTGTACTTAGATCCCAGTTGTATTGTTCCATTGTGCACTTCCTATCGTCAATTTCATTGAATCTATCACTATAAAAATTTCTTTTCAAATTATTAAAAGTATAGTGGCCATTATTCTCTTTCAGAGAGCTAAATATGATTTTCATTCATCATTGATTTGCTTAAGCAATTTTTAAGGGGTTTTTTTGCCTTTCAACCTGCTTTGGAAGTCGAAAGTTATAAGTAGTCAAATTTCATATCCCACCTCCACTAAAAAGACATACTTATTCCTATTTTTCCATTTACGAATGGGGGCATAGAAGCTGACTTATTTGTTTGTTTTGTTTTTTTGGTACTGGGGATCGAACTTGGGACCTTGTGCTTGCGAGGCAGGCGCTGGAACCACTGAGCTAAATCCCCAGCCCCCGACTTATTTGATTTAGGAGGGGATATACTTGAGTTTGTTGGAAAAGCACAGATTTACTTTACATGGAAAACATCCAAGCTGGGCATAGTAATCCCAGGACTTGGGAAGCTGAGGCAGGAGGATTGCTGTGATTTCAAGGCCAGCCTGGACTACAAAGCAAAACCCTGTCTCAAAAACAAACAAAAAATCCTACTTTGCCACTTTATATTAAGTCACCAGGTAAGTATCTGTCATGCACACAGGTGTTTTGGCTGAGTGGTGTGCAGGGGAAGTCAAAACTAGCTTTATGATTAAAACTAGACCCCTATCTTTCACCATGCACTAAACTAAAATCAAAGCGGATTAAAGATCTAAATATTAAAACAGAAACACTAAATTTACTGGAAGGTAAGTTAGGTAGAACTCTCGAAGACATTGGCATAGGAAAGGATTTTATGAACAAATCCTCAGTAGCATGGGAACTTGCACAAAGAATCAACAACTGGGATCTCATCTTATTAGAAAACTTCTGCACTGCAAGAGAAACCACCAACAGAGCTAACAGACAACCTACAATGTGGGAAAAAATTTTTACCAGCTGTTCCTCAGACAGAGGTATACTATCTAGAATATATAAAGAACTCAAAAAAAATCAGACCCCCCCAAATATAAAAACCCGATTCAAAAATGGGCATCTGAAATGAACAGACATTTCTCAAACAAGGAAAAGCAGCAAATAAATATATGAAAAAATGTTCAACATCACTGGTCATTTGGGAGATGCAGATGAAAACAACACTGAGATTCCACCTCACCCCAGAAAGAATGGCTGCTATCAAGAAATCAACCAATAACAAATGTTGGCGGTGCCGTCGGGAGAAAGGAGCCCTTCTTCATTGTTGGTGGGAGTGCAGACTGGTGCAACCACTGTGGAAATCAATATGGACATACCTCAAAGAACTAGGATTAGAGGTCCCATTTGATCCAGCTAGTCCCTCTGCTGGGTATCTTTCCAAAAGGATTAAAAGAGGGCGGGCGCGGCGACGTCCCCTGGAAGTGGAGCCCGGAACTTCCTCTCGTGCGTGAGGCGAGCGGAGCCGGAGACTCGACCAGAGGCCGAATACTGGGTGTGGCAAGATGCCTGGCCTGCCCCACAGGATCATCAAGGAAACTCAGTGTTTGCTGGCAGAACCCGTTCCTGGCATTAAAGTGGAACCAGATGAGAGCAACGCTCGTTATTTTCATGTGGTCATTGCTGGTCCCCAGGATTCCCCCTTTGAGGGAGGGACTTTTAAACTTGAACTATTTCTTCCAGAAGAATACCCAATGGCAGCACGTAAAGTACGTTTCATGACCAAAATTTATCATCCTAATGTAGACAAGTTGGGAAGAATATGTTTAGATATTTTGAAAGATAAATGGTCCCCAGCGCTGCAGATCCGCACAGTTCTGCTCTCGATCCAGGCTTTGTTAAGTGCTCGTAATCCAGACCACCCAAACGATGTAGCGGAACCGTGGAAGACCAATGAAGCCCAAGCCATAGAAACAGCTAGAGCATGGACTAGGCTATATGGCATGAATAATATTTAAGTCGATCCGATCATCAAGTTTGTGTCACTTGTCCTGTTCTGCCAAGACTTCTTCCTTTTTTGTTTGCATTTAATGGACACGGTCTTAGAAACATTACAGAATAAAAGCCCAGACATTTTCAGTCCTTTGGTGATTAAATGCACATTAGAAGATCTATGTCTTGTCCTGACTCACTGTTGTAAAGCATAAGCAGAGGCTAAAAGTATCATCGAGATTGTCGTGAAATGTTTAAAAGCAGTGGCTCTCTGCTTTTATTCATTTCCCCCATCATGGTTTAAGTATAAAGCACTGTGAATGAAGGTAGTTGTCAGGGTTAGCTGCAGGGGTATGGGTACTCTTTATTTTATTTTTTGAGGGGAAATGCAGTTTTAAAATTTTATGGACTCCTTCCCCCCCCCTTTTATGGTGATCTAATTGCACTGGTTAAAAAGCAGCTAACTAATTCTCTAGAATACGCTCTCTAGCCAAGTCTAACTTTATTTAGACGGTATAGATGAACAAGCTGATTGAACCAAAATGGGAACATTAACAAACATCACAGCCCTCACTAATAACATTGTGACTTTGCTGTCAAGTGTAGATTCCCCCCTTCAAAAAAAACTTGTGACCATTTTGTATGACTTGTCTGGAAACTTCTGTAAATCTTCTGTTGTAGTAAAATATTTTTTGTTATTCTACTTTGCCTTTGTACAGCTTATTTTACTGTGTTTATTTCATTTTCCCAATGTGACAATCGTATTTAAAAATCAAAACTGATGGAACATTCTGTTTTGGTCTTCACCATCTGACAAATAGAATGGCAAGGGATGGATTTGCCAATTTCTTTTCACAGATGCAAATTTGTGTTAAGATATTACTGAATGGAGTATTTATAAACAGGCCCTGAGCATGCATAAAGCATCCGTAGCTGACTTTTTCTTAATCCCCTAGAAATTTGAAATAAATACTTTGTGTTATCTGGTTAGGTGATCATAGGTGTCTTGCCACAATGTTTGAAAATCACTGTACAGGAGAGTTGCAGCAAAGAAAGCAGCTGTGACTGACATCTAGGACTTCCACATATTTTGTGGCAGTTTTTTTTTTTTTCTTCTTGCCTCAATTTTGGGTTATGACCTTTCTTGGTTTCTGTCTGAAAACTTCATGTATTACCATTGGTGTGTGATTAGGAAATATCAATCTGATAATCATTTGGGGTTTGTGGAGATATTTGTCAAGTTTTCCTTACAGAACTAAGAGGAAATCTCAAGCAGCTTGCGTTGTCATCAGAAAGATTTCTTCCTTCAAGAGCATCAGACTTTGAGTTAATGAGTCTTGCATCCATCCTTTCTAGTATACTATGGGAGCTTTTAATTTGGTTTTAGTAAATTTTTCATGGATAAGAGTTTCTTCCCTCACAAAACTGTTCTTTCCCACCTCTCTCCACATCTAATTCCCAATTTTTGTTGTTTTTAAGTCTTATGTAGCCAGTCATAAATATGTAAGTGTTAACCTTTGGGTCGGAATCATTGATTCTTGCAGTTTAAGGTAATGGATATTGTAGCCCATCTGGATTTTCTTCACTGTCATTCTCATAACTTCTGGAGTTTCTTCAGAACGTGGTGTATTTTATTGTACTCCTATGTAAGATGAAGAATTATCTATTAAAATTACATTTTCAACACACACACACAAAAAGAAAAGAATCATACCACAGTGATATATGCATACCCATGTTTACAGTGGCACAGTTTGTAATAGCTAAAACATGGAAATAGCCCAAATGCCCATCAACTGGAAACTGGATAAAGAAGATGTGGTTTTTCTATAAAATGTAGTACTACTCAGCCATAGAGAATGAGAAACTAGGGCCTGGGATTTAGCTCAGTGGTTTCGCCACCTGCTGCACAAGCGCAAGGACCCAAGTTCGATCCCCGGTACCAAAAAACAAAAAGAATGAGAAACTGGAGACATTTATAGCTAAATGGATGCACATTGAGGCCATACTCCTTAAGTGAAATAAATAGGACACACGTGTAAATACCGAATAGTTTCTCTGGAGTGAAATACTAAAAGTGTAAATAAGGTTCAAATGATATAATTGATAATGTGAAATAGGAAGAAAAGGTCTAAAGGAGTTGGGGAAGTGGGAGGGGTAGGGGAAAGGAAAGAAGGGAAAAGAAAAAAAATATGAGAAAAGGAAAAAATGGAAACAAAGTCTCAGTAAATAGGGAAGGGTGGAGGGGGTGAAGGGAGTGCAGGGAAATGGGGAAAAAATAAGAACCAATATACATCATGTAGAGGTACAAGATCCCAACAATGAATGTAACTGTATTTTATACCTAAAATGTACCAACAAACAATGAAAAAAACAAACTAGCTTTATGGTTACTATACGCTTTGTGGAGATTTCTCTGCTCTAATACATTCGGCTAGGAAGTTACATCTCTTCTCCTCTAGATGTCATCATTGATCTTTGCAGGATTAGTATAGTCTCCGTAATGTTAAAACCAAGGACCAAATTTAACAGTAAGTAGGGCATCTGAGAAGTTTTAAAGCTTAAAGACTTTAGAGTTTTAGGGTTTAGACTGTATGACATACATATTTGCTTCACTGTATACTACTATTTAATAAAGATACCCGAAATTAACATGTGTAGTAAGATTTTATATTTTATACAGAGTTGTCTCATTCTTTATTTCATTTGGCCCTTTGTAGCACTCCAGGAGGTAAAAATAGGCTGTTAGTCTCTCATCTTAGTTTTTCTTGGGGTTTTTTTGTTGTTGTTGTTGTTTTTTGTTTTGGTACCAGGGACCGAACTCGAGACCTTGCGCTTGCGAGGCAGGTGGCAGAACCACTGAGCTAAATCCCAGCCCCAGTTTTTCTTGTTTGTTTGTTTGCTTATGGCTAATAGCCACAGGTTTTCTTCTTTAATTACGCTTTTCATTTGAAATAATTGTAGATTCACATACTCTGTGGTTTGAGTATGGTTTGTCCTTGCAAACGCATATTGGATTTCAATCCCTATCGTGAAAGGTTAGGAGGTGGGGCCAAATGGAACCTCTGAGAGGTAATGAACCCATTCAGGTGATTAATGGGTCATGTGTTGGAAGTGGGTCTGCTCTAAAAGCCACTGTGGCTGGCTCTCCCCTTGTCACTGTGTGATGCTCTGCTTTGGGTCCCTGCCAGCAGGAATGCCATCACCAGATGTGGCCCCTAAACTGTTCTCCAAAATAAACCTCCTTTCTTTGTAACTTGCCTAGGCTGTGGTATTGTGTTATGAGCAATAGAAAGACTAATCAGACAATATGTAATTGTAAAAAAATAATACAGAGATCCCATATAACTTCCAGTAGTTTTCCCTAATGTTGCATTTTCCATGACAACAGGGCAGAATCACAACCAAAATCTTAACGTTGATGCAGTCGGGCTACAGAGCATTTCCACCTCCACCAGGATCTTACACTGCCCTTGTATTAGCTACATGCACTTCTTTACTACCTTAACCCAGTCATTAACCCTGGTGACTGTTAATCTGTTCTCCAGTCACTTCAAGACTATTCTATAAATGGACTCATATAACATGTAACCTTTCAGCATAGCTTTTTTCATTCAGTATAACTCACTGGAGAGTCACCCAAGTTGTGTCAATAGTACATTTCTTTTTATTGCTGAGTAGTACTCTACATTGGTTGAACTGTGTGTTTGTTTATTCTCCATTGAAGGCCATCTGAGTTGTTTCCAATTTTTGGTTTTGGTTTTGGTTTTTGATGCTGGGGATCGAACACAGAGCCTTGTTCATATCAGTCCAGTGCTCTACCACTGAGTTTTAGCCCCTTGTTTCAGTTTTGACTACTATAAATAAAGCTTCTATTAACAGCTCTGTACAGATTTTCATGTGGACATAGTCTTCATTTCTTTTGGATAAATAACACCCAGAAGTGCAGTTGTTGGGTCTTATGGTAGTTACATGTTTAAGAAACTTCCAAATGTGTTCCAGAATGACTAAGCCATTTTATACTTCCACCAACAATGTGTGGGTGATCTGGTTTCTTTGCATCCTCACAAACATTGGTGCTATCTCTATTTTAGATATTCTGATAGTTGTGTAGTCATTCCAATATTTTGGGGGGGGGGGACAAGGTCTTGCTATGTAGTTCAGGCTGGCCTTGAACTCACTGTGTATCCCAGGCTGGCCTCAAATTCATGGCAATCCTCCTGCCTCAGCCTCCCAAATGCTGAGATTATAGGCATGTACCATCATGCCTGATTCATTCCAGTATTTTTTTAGGCTGATCACAAGCTAGCTCCTTAGTCTCATATGTATGCAAATATATAAAATATATATAGGGCCGGGGATTTAGCTCAGTGGTTTCACTGCCTGCTGCGCAAGCACAAGGACCCAAGTTCAATCCCTGGTACCAAAAAATAAATAAATAAAATATATATATTTAAATTTGACAGCTCGGAGAATATTCGATGGATATATAATAGAATCACTCTTTTGCTGAGTCTCTTTGCTAAAAGTTAAGTGGGACAGTGTGGTGAAAGATTCCTTCTTTCCACTAAAGAGAATTCTTCAAGGACCCGAGTTTGATCCCCGGTACAAAAAACAAAACAAAACAAAAAAGAATTCTTTTATGCAGTGGTTGAGATTAATAAAGGGTAATAAATCTAGTATTTACTCTTCTGGTTCTAAAGATTGGCTTGGGCTGTAACTGTGAAGCAGAAGAAAAAAATTATATTGGTTAATACTAAAGCCTATGAAATATAGGATGTTGAAATATCTAGGGTGGGCAGTCAATTTCAGAATTGTATTTGTTTGAAGTAGACTAAAATAAAATTTAATGTAATTTTATTCATTAACAATTTTCAGAACAATTTATGTTAAACTGTCCTGTTCATCTCATTTTTTATAATTTTATTTATATATTCTTTGTGTCTACCGAATCTCTTGTATTATAGGCTCCTCCTCTTATCAAAAAACTTTTTATTATGGAAATTTTCAAATGTATACAGAAGTAGAATAGTAATAAATCCCAATGTACCCATCACCTAGTTTCAACAATTATTAAGCCCTGCCTGATCTTATTTAGCTATGCTGTCACCTTCTTTACCAATATTACTTTGAAGCAAATCTATGACATTATATAATTTAATCCATAAATATTTCAGTATCTCTAAAAGATATAGACTCACTTAAACAAGCACAATACTATTATTATATCCAAATAAAATGAAAAATTGGGGCCAAAGATGTAGCTCAATGGTATAGCACTTGCCTAGCCATGAGGCCCTGTGTTTGATTTCCAGCGCTGCAAATAAGGGTGGGGGGAGAAAGAGAAGAAGAAATCCTTACTATTTTCAAATAATCAGTGTTCAAATTTGAAATTCTCTCATGTCTTTTTTTCATTGTTTGTTTGAATCAGGATCAAAATAAGGTCCACACGTTGCTATTGGTCAATATATTAAATTTCTTCAATCTTCTGTAGGTCCTCCCTTCCAAGCAATTTATTTATTGAAGAAGCTGTTAAAATTTTCCATACCTTAGATCTTGCTGATTATATCCCCATGGGTAGTTTTACATGTTCCATACAGTTTAAAATGTTCCTCTATCCTTGAATCTATAAATTCGTAAATGGATATAGAGCCTTAATTAGATTCAGTTTCAATTTATTTTTGGCAAAAATACTTAATAGGTGATGAATGGTTGTTTCTTCTTGTGATATTAGCAGCTGTTGCTGCTCAATGCATAGGTCCATCTATTGATTCATTATGTATTGGGAAAAAGATGACATTCTGGGTGGGAGATTTAGCTCAGTGGTTCTGCTGCCTGCCTCACAAGCACAAGGACCTGAGTTCGATCCCTGGTACCAAAAAAAAAAAAAGAATCAAAAAGATGACATTCTATCATTAACATTTTTTTAAGTGGAATATTTCTATAAAGAAAAAAAATTTCCTCATCTATTTGGTACAACTTTTATATAACAGAGAGTCTAGAAAGCTTGCTTCTTTCCCTTTCTTTGATATTTTCAGTTTAATGACTTGCTTCCCTCATATCTTCTGAAACCTCAAATGGTGGTTCTTTTTGTTTCTTAAGTATTACTGTGAATTTATTGATTTGAACATATTTGTGCCATTCATTCCAAGCTGAAGGTATGTGACTTTGACATATACCACGATGTGTACTAAACTTATTCATTAGGCTTTAACTCTCAGGCTCATTTATGTCTAATTGCAGCCAAGATGATCTCCTTTGAGACAACCACACTCATGTGTCTGTTTCAGATTTCAGTAATGTGATCAGCAAGAGTGATGTGAAGTCATTAGCTGAAGCTGATGAACAGGAAGTTGTGGCCGAGGTTCAGGTAAACATGTTGGTCCTGTACCACATTTTTTGTATTGGCCCTTTTAAAAGAATGTAGTCTAAAAATAGAGAAAGTGCTGTCTCAAAAGAAGGGAGAGTATTGATTATGTAAAATAGATGTGCATTGCATCTACTTATATTTACTTATATTTAGAAAGTTTGGAAGAATATCAAATTTGATAGAAATAGAATTAAAGGAATCAGTGGGAAGACAGGCTGATGAGTTGGTAGGAAGGATTTCACAGAGTTTAGGACAGAGTAAGGTATGTCCTTTGTTAGTTTTATACGCCACCCTGTAAGAATATTCATCAACAGGATTATGCCTGATTGAGAGAGAATAGAAAGCTAAGGCTGTGAATAAGTAAAGCTCTGTTTGAGATTATCATGATTTGGGGAGTAGTAAACAGATTTTTTTGTCATTAGATTAAAATCTGTTAGCTCTAAACATTTATTCTGTCTGCTATATAGTACATCACATTAGGATATAATATGTTACCTTTTCCTTTGTGAATATTTTAGTGTTCTTAAATACATTTATCACCAATGTTTGAATATTTGTTTATTATCTAAGTGAAAAATACTATATTCAGAAGCAGCAAATAAACTAGTTTTGAATTTTCAGAATGTGCTAGGTGATCAAAATAATGATCTATTTTAAATCATATTCTCCCTCATGAGAATACATTGGACATCAAAGCTCTTTTTTTATCTGAGTGTGACATTGTATATCCTAATGTAGTGTTTTATTAATTGATTAGTACATGGTCTCCAAACCTTATAATGTGTATACTCTACATTTTTTCTTATTTTGAGAAATTTCATCATTATTACTGTTTTATAGTTAATTCATCCAAGTGACTTTTGATACTCAATTATTAGTTGAACTTTTTATATCTCTTTTATAGCTGTATTTTACTATCTGATTTATCAGAGTATATTGCACATACAATATTTCTGCCTGATACAATTGGAGTTTGTGGATTGACTGATGATCTTGGTGCTTTTATTTGCAGGAATTTTATGGTGATTACATTGCTGTGAATCCACATTTGTTTTCCCTCAATATTTTGGGTTGCTGTCAGGTATGGAAGGGAAGGATTAAAAAAAAAGTTAATTTATCAGGTGGGAGTTAATTCAGTAAGCAATTGGACTTGGAAAAGAAAATTCAAATATATTTCTCTAAATATATGTTTTTAACAATAGGGTCGAAATTGGGATCCAGCTCAACTATCCAGAACAACTCAAGGACTGACAGCTCTCCTTTTATCCCTGAAGAAGTGTCCTGTTATTCGTTACCAGCTTTCATCAGAGGCCGCAAAGACACTTGCAGAATGTGTTAAAGTATGGCATTCCCTGTCCCTGCTTCCAAAACATCAAGGCCATTCATTTCCCTATCGTGTTTCAGAAACTATCAGGAATGTTTTCTGTACAGCTGTGGAGATGATGATGTGTTAGGCTTACTGGCAAAGAAGTAGGTCTATGTAATTCAAAACAAATTAGAGCTGAGACTATTAGGTTTAACCGATGAAATATCCACAAACTATTTAACTTTTGGGGTCCAGTTAAACCACTTATAAAGTAGGGTTTCAAGTCCTAACTAATCTCTTAAACAGTACAGTACATGAAGCTTTTGAATCCTTTTATGAAAGGCCTATGAGGGTATGCAGAACTGCTAAATGTGGTTTTTCTATATTTTCTATTTTAATCTTCCCTATCTGCAACGAATTTGTTGACCAAGCCATCTCTCTGTCTTACCACAGCAAGTGATATCTAAAGAATATGAACTGTTTGAATTCCGCCGGACAGAAGTTCCTCCATTGCTGCTTATTTTAGATCGCTGTGATGATGCCATCACCCCATTGCTCAACCAGGTACAGAGCCTTTTGTCAGCATGATAGGATTAGAAGGATTTTAATTATATTCACCAAAATGCAGATGTGAAAATACCAAGATAGTGTATTCTATTCACCTCCTTATTTTCATCTATTCTTTTTCTTTGCCTTGTATTTCCTGGTGTTTGGGAAGCATTATTTCTTCTGCCAGAGTTACTGTTAACTCCTTCTTCTGCTTCATCTTTCCTATCCCTTCCTGCCACTACTCCTACCCCTAATCAAGGCGGTTTCTAAATTCTGTGGATTCTAATTTCCAGTGTTTCTTTCTGTCTGCCTTTTCCCATTTTTATTGCTATTGCCTTGGTATAGACCCTACTCTCTTGCAGAAATATTGAAATAGTCATCTATTTGATTCCTCTTAATTTCTTAGCCCATAGACACAGTGTTGTTAAATTACTTTTCCTAAAGTACAGATCCAATCCTATTAAAATATTCCTTGGTTTCCATTGCTTACTTGCTTAAAGACAAACTCTTGGCTGGGCATGGTGGTGCACATCTGTAATCCTAGCACTCAGGAGGCTGAGGCAGGAGGATTGCTGCAAGTTCAAGGCCAGCCTGGGCTACATAGTGAGTTCAAACCCAGTCTGAATATAGAGCAAGACCCTGTCTCAAAAAAATACAAACTCCTGAATTTGGCATCAAAAACCTTTATAATGTGTTCTGAACCTCATATTAAAATTTCAACTCACTGCTACATAGATGCCATGTGGTTTCTTGTCATTATGCTTTTACTGTGACCACTGTCTAAACTCTGGAATGTTGGGGATACCTTCTCTTCTTATCTCTCTCTCTCTCTTTTTCTTTTTGTTTTTTGTTTTTTTGCAACAGGGTCTCGATGTGCAGTTCAGGCTGGCCTCGAACTCGTAGTTATCTCCTGCCTCAGCCTACCCCCCTCCTCCGAGTGCTGGCATTACAGGCATGCACCACCATGCCTGGCCCCAAATTTCTTATTATTTGTTAAGAATGCATTACTTTGTCATAGGCCCATTACACAAGACTAAGTATTTTCCAGAAAATTACATTCTAAATCTAGAATCCAAAAGTTAGTATTATATATGTATATGTATTTTATCTTTTTAATGTATTTTATCTTAAAAACTAAATTTATTAAGAAATAATTTAGACATAGTAAAGTGATTTATTTCCTAAAAGATTTGCCAAAGGTGTCCTTGATAAGGAATGTTCCATTAAGGCATTTAAAATAAGTTCAATAAGATGTTTTATGCCTCTATGGATAGTGTGGATAAGAACAAAAACTGGGGTTTCTTCTTTCCAATTTTAACAAATTTACATTTTGTAAGACTGGAAGGCAATCCTTCTTCACAATTCATACTAGGTAAAAATATTAAAAAATGGAGTCAGAAGCAAGTTTCTGAACATGCCAATGTTTTGATCAACTCACAAGGTTTTTCCTGATAATATTAGTGTTCCCAGGATAAATATAGCACCACTCAGATCTGTAAGAACACACTTATGCTGCAGAAAGCCACAGAAGCATACAGGAAACGGTACAGCTTGTAACTGAGTACCAATATAGCCCTATCTGTGAAGCCAAAAATATGCTCTTAATTCACAGGCAAAAATTAGAGCTAATGATAGATCTAATTTGTTTTCTTTCTATCTAGAATATTAATCTTGCTGCTCTTCTTTCTAAAGTGTGAAATCTAAAACTATTTTGACTTTTGGGTATTTAACCAATTAATATGACAATCTTAGTGCCTATTATAGCAGAAAATATTCATAAAATATGAACTAAAGAGAGAATTTTCACATAAAGTATACTAGTTACTAAGAATGTTCTCAATTTTTTGTTTTCCTGAAGATTTACTATTTCATGTTTACCAGTTAACAATTTTTTTGTCACAATTCTTTATTTAGTGGACATATCAAGCCATGGTCCATGAACTACTGGGCATAAAGAACAATCGAATTGATCTTTCCAGAGTCCCGGGGATCAGTAAAGACTTAAGAGAGGTCGTCCTGTCTGCTGAAAATGATGAGTTCTATGCTAATGTAGGTGGTTTTAAGTTTTTTAAAATTGTTTTTGGTTGTTTTTATATAAGAAGGTCAATATTTGCTTGTTAAAATGGAAAATATATGAGATATCATGTGGAAGGATGATAGAGGCATCCTACATCTGCCATCTCAAGCAAAGGCAAAAGACTTGGATTCTGACCCTTTAACAACATTTTTTTAAAGAAATCATGAAGTTATTTACTTCTGCCTCTTCTAGTAGCTCTTTGTGAGAATAATAGTGGTATTCATCATCAGTGTCCTGGCTAATGTCCAAATTTGGTAATTAAAGTGGAATTTGCCCTTCAATTTTGTGTTCAGGATTCTTTTTCACTTCTTTTAAATTGTCTGAAAGGCTAATTGATGAACTGTGCTTCCATCATTCTTTTTAATAGAATATGCACCTGAACTTTGCAGAGATTGGTAGTAATATAAAGAATCTCATGGAAGACTTCCAAAAGAAGAAACCAAAAGAACAGCAAAAACTAGAATCAATAGCAGATATGAAGGTAAATCAAGCATATACATGGATGACTTATGTATGAGACTTTGGAATTAATCATATAAGCAACATTTTTGTAATCTTCTGGGTCTGATTTCTACCTTGATTCACTTTATTTGGCTTGATATATTTTCTGTAATGTCTCTCTTTAGTAAATAATGTAGTGAAAATTCGTAATAAGCCATGTGCTTCTTTCCATTCTTCATATTTGTACTCTTTAAAGATGCATCTATTGCCATATACCAGTTACTCTCTTCTTAAGCATTACAAAATGCCATGTTGAGAGTTATAGGTGCTTCAACCTGGGCAGAAAAACAACCCCAGCATTTTAAAATTCCTTCTTTGTACATGCATCCTCAGCCAGAAAATAACAGAATCTCCCATTAACGTTTTTCTCACGTGGCAGGCCTTTGTTGAGAATTACCCACAGTTCAAGAAGATGTCTGGGACTGTGTCGAAGCATGTGACAGTGGTCGGAGAACTGTCTCGGTTGGTCAGTGAGCGGAATCTACTGGAGGTTTCGGAGGTTGAGCAAGAACTGGCCTGTCAAAATGACCATTCGAGTGCTCTCCAGGTCAGTCCAATTTGATGAGCACCTACTTTGTATAAGACACTGTGCCAGGCAGAGCAACAGATACAAAGGCAAGTAATGCTTCTTCACCAACATGGAATTGAGTGTAACAAGGAGTTAGACAGGAACACAAATGAACACCATTTAAGATAGAGTTATAATCAGAGCCACAGAAGAAGTATGATGTGCAATCCCTGAGTTCAGTCTGTGAATTGAGTATTTATGAGGGTCACCTAGTTTACTAGAAAGACCGCTAGACTAGAATCAGAAGATCTGCATATTAGTGTTTGATTTACCAATACTGGCTTTGTGACCTAGAGCTGCTGACTTAGTCACTGAGCCAGTTTCCTCATTTGTAAAGTAGGCATAATACTACCTATCTCACAGGTTATTAGGAAGACATTGAAAGGTAAAATGTATATTAAAATGTATTATCTAAGTTTTTTTAATTACTGAAGATTGCTTTTCATTCTACAAACATGTGAATGCCTTCTACATATGGATACTGCTATGAGGATCTAGGACTACAAAGATGAATATGATACCATCCTTTTCCCTAATGTACTCACACTAGAGGGAGAAAGAAACTATATGAAGTTGTGATACCATGCAGTAATTGCTATAATAGAGGTATTTACATGGGAATATGGAAATACAGAGGAAGGGCAACTATTTTCCCCAAGGATTAGGCTTCTGAGAGCTTCTCTGAGAAGATAACATGAAATCTGAGTTTGGACAGATAAGTGGAGAAAAAGGAGAAACACGAAAACATTCTCAGCAGAATAGTTCAATGTAGATAGTGCAGGGAACAAGCTGAAGAGTGGTTTAGATAAACTGGAAAGACAGGTTGGGGCCAGTTTATGGTCAATGAAAAGAAGTCAGGCTTTAATCTTTTTTTGTTTGTTTCCTTTTTTAAGTTAAGTTTATTGGTACATTTTAGGTATAAGCTTTAATCTTAAAATGATGGGAGCTACAAAAGATTTTAGAAGAAAAGTGATATAATTAAACCCTGACCTCAAGAAATTTTCTAGTCTAGTTGAAGAGACAAAACTAAAAGTATAAGAAAAAATTATATAGTGCTTCAAAATGGTATTCAATTAAGTCAAAATTATGATACTGACTGTAATAGGCTTTGAGATTATTAGAAAGAGTTTCTTAAGGAAAGGAGTATTAGGATGATCCTCATAAAGAATGAATAGAATTTGGAGGAGGAGTTCAGTCAGGAATAACAGCAACAGCAAAGATGCAGAAGAATGCAGGAAATAATAAACATTTGACCTTTTGAGATTAGGGGTGGAAGAGAAATAAAAGATAAAATTGTGTAGGTAGCCGGGAACCAGCTTATGAAGAAGCTTGTAAGGGGAATTTGTATTTGCTGAGGTAGCCAGAGAGGTCCAGTGTAGGATCCAGTGTGTAGAAAGTTGTTATGAAAGCAGTATTTTAGGAAATTTAGTCTAGTAAGGATGAAATGGACATGAAAAACTGAAGTCAGAGAGGTTCGTAGACTTACAGTGATAGAAATAAAAATGTATAGTAAGGAGCAAATCTGAGAGACATTGAAAAGGAAGAAAACAATTAAATGACAAATTAGATATAAGGATAGAAAGAATAAATTAGAGGTAATTCCAGGGTTCCTGAGAAATGACAAAATTTAGTGCCCCTAACAAGGAACTTAGGAAGAAGTGTCCTTTGGGAAACACTTACAAGAAGCACCTTTCCTCATTTATAGGACCCTATATTCTAAAGCTTAATTTCTCATTCCCTGCTGCAATTCTACTCTGTTTCATTAAATGAAGCCTCCTGGGTATATCGGAAGCAGCACAGGCTTTGGAGCCAGACTGTCTTGACTTATACCCTCCCTGTACTTACTGAAGTTTCTTTGGAAAATTACTGACTTTGCCCAAGCATCAGGGGTAGTAATTGCAGACCTTCAGATTGTTACAGGAATTCATACAGTATACAAAATGTTTCCCATATGATAGGCATTTTGTAAATGTTGGTTCCCTTCCTCCAAGCATAATTTTTCTTTTTTGGTACTGGGGATCAAACTTGGGACCTTGCTCTTGCGAAGCAGGTGGCTGCACCACTGAGCTAAATCCCTGGGCCCCCAAGCATAATTTTTTTATACATACTGTAATCAAAAGAAATAAATCCACCTCCAGCTACTCTATTATGTTAAGATCTTTACTGAGATTTACAGTTTTTGGTGTTAATTTTTTTAAATGTTTGTTGAGGTTTCCTCTGAAAGTACTAGCATTTTGTAAATCATAAAGATACTAATTACATTAACATGAAGTGCTTTTTCATCTCTGTTTTAGTTTTGTCACTGCATTCCTACATCTTCACAGAGAACTCTGTCCTTTATTCTGATATTATTATTTTTAAAGTGTGTTAACTTCTAATTCTTAATAGTTAATGTAAATATTTGGTGAGAGAGGAGTATAATAACAGCTGAGTCTGTTAATAAGAGGGAATTTTTTTTTTTTTTTTTTTTTGATACCAGGGATCAAACTTAGGACCTTGCGCTGCAGTGGAACCACTGAGCTAAATCCCTGGGCCAATAAGAGGAGGTTTTAAAATTTGTTTTTATTTTAGTTTTTTGTTTCAGTTTTGTGGTGCTAGTGATTAAACCTGGGGTGCTCTACCACTGAGCTATATCCCTGTCCTTGTTTTTTATTTTCCAACAAGGTCTAACTAAATTGCCCCAACTGGCTTTGAACTTGTGATTCTCCTACCTCAGCCTCCTGAGTAGCTGGGGTTATAGGAATGCTCCACCACCCCCAGCATGTTAATAGTTTCATGTGCATCCTTACAGTTATTCCATGTATATGCAAGGCGGTGTGTTTGTGTTTATCTTTTAATTCATATGTCACCAATCTCTACGTGGAGTTCACCATTTGTTTTTTCACTTAACCATGTGTCTCAGAGACTGTTTCAGATCAGAATCTAAAGACTCATTCTTTTTAACTGCTAAATAGTATCCTTTGTAAAGATGTACTGTACCATAATGCATTTAACTTAGCCAACCTACTTTATTTGTTTTTTGTTTTTCTTGGTGCCAGGGATCGAACTTGGGTCCTTGTGCTTTCGAGGCAGGCTGCGGAACCACTGAGCTAAATCCCTGGCCCCTAGCCAACCTATTTTAAACAACTCCATCAATAATAGTTCATGGTTGTTTTGTGGGTCTAATACAAGTGTTTCTATATTTATCTCAATAAAATGAGTCTTCTACTTCTTACTAAATAAAAATGAAAGTTTGTCTTATAACTAAATTTAAATTTACTTGTGTTTCTTTATCATTTGATTTTTTTCCCTTTAAAACAATAGAACCAAACTTAATCACTAACCCATTTTAAATTCTTTATGTCTCTCTACCATTTGGAAAACAGTTAGAAAAAATTATTGTAACTTCTTGCCTGAAACTTTACTTTTTGTTAACTTTAAAAGTAGATATTTTAAAAATGTAGCCTCTATTTGTGATCTACTTTACATTGCTAAAACTTATTTCTTGAAGGTTTTCTTGTCCAAGGTACAGAATTGGGGCTTTACAGTAAGCTGTAGACTTGGGCCCCCTTACCATAAAAGATCTCTTTCGTAACATGATTTAAATAGTCCATAAAGGGAACTTTTGTTTGATAGTGATTGGACACTGGGGTCTGACCCCTAGATGGGTTATAACATTCCTTGGCTTGACCTTAGATAGCAATACGTCATAAAGCAATGAATTGAGGTTTTTGAGTAGAGATGGGGTGTGCTTGACTGAATAGTAAGCATGTCATGGTAAAAAAAAATGCTCATATATTGCTAAAAATTAACCTATAAATTGCTGCCACTTCTAGCCCATTATCCTACAGGCTAACAGATTTTTGATTTAGAAAGAATTTCACCAGAACCAAAGTAGTGTCTTATCATTGAAGCATATCATCGAAGGAGATTTATTTGACTTGTAAGGAAGATTTTTCATAACACGAAGAGAAACATCTTCAGAAAGTGAGCAGTCCCCAGCCCCTAGTTCCACCCATGTTGTCATATCACAGCCTTCCATTTAGGAAAAACCAATATCTTTTATATCCTTCTTTCCAGACCTTGGTTAAAGATCTCAAATCATACTGTTAATGGTACATAGTAAAGAATCACTTAATATTTGTTAGAAAAATGAGGAAGAAGAGTTCTACTGAAGAAATACAGAATAATGGCTGAGAATGTAGGCCTCTGATGACATGGATTTGAAAATGATTCTTAACCACTCTGATCCCCAGTCTTTTCGTTTGTAAAATGGGAGAAAATAACAGTACTTACTTCAAAGATTATGGTGAGGATGCAATGAGTCCTTAATATGGTACCAGGTACTTAAAACTTGCAACAAATACTGTCTCCATTAGGTAATTATTATTTGATATTATGTACATTTCTACTTTCTTTATGGCAGCCAGAACCTGTTTTTAGTCCACTGATGACCTTGAATCTCTTCCTGATTTTTCTCATCAAAATCTTTTTTTCAAACTCCTTGAGACAAATAGCACTATTTTGATCAATTAAGAGTAAAAATTATCTTTTTTTACCTCTAATCAACACTTAGCCAGTATTTCAGAAACAGTGTCAACCAAAAGACCTCCTACAAAGCTAAACTGTACGGTGATTAGTGATTGAGAAAAAGAATACAGTACTGACTGAGATGTTGTGTAGTCAATGAAATTGAGTCTTGCCTTTATCATTTTTCCCAGATAGCTCTTTATACTCCCACAAGAGTATTGTTTCAGGCTGTCAGATCAGCATGTTGAGTGAACACTTACGCCAATTCCATTTTGCTATCCTAATCTGTTGATTTATTTTGTTATTCATTGACTGTTTATTACATAAATGTGTATGGAAGTGATTCTGTATTTAGGTTAAACTAAGGCAAAAAAAAAAGAGAGAGAGAAGGCTTTCTTTGATTACTGAGTTCATCTCTAATGTGTGTAATCGTTTAAAATGTAGATATGTCCTAAATCTTTTTTCTTGCTGTACTGCTTCATCATGATAGAAAATAAAAAACAATGGAAGAATCTGTTAATATTAGAAAATAATTATTTTCCTTGATCTCTTCTGAGTAAATGTTAGTTTCTTTTGGAAAGTTAACCTCCAAAGACACCAAAATGCAAAGTTTTTGAATCCAATCTTAAGTAGATAATAGTTTTCTGCTTATTCATCTGTTGTGGTTATGTAATAGCTTACCTTTCTCTCTTGATAGTTGTAGGGTTATGGAAATTTTAATAAAAAGAACTCAAAAAGTCAGGTATATTTCCATCAAATAAATGCTACCACATAACACATACCTGCTGTGTAGCTAGAAGCCTCTGATTCTTTTTTCTCTTTTCGGGTTAGTACCCTGGAATCTCAGTATAACATATGCCATTGTTGGCCAGTTGTGAGTCAAGTAGCCAAAAGGGAAATAGTTCAAAATGAAGTCAAAAGATAACGTGGGATTAAGGCACACAAGGATTGATAGATCTGTTCCAAGACTGGAATAGCTAAAAAGGAAGAAAGAACTCAGCTTATACCTACAGACTTCTTTTCATGAGGGAATAGATGAGTCTACCAGAAAGTGGACCTGTACCATGAGTTAGGTCTAAAGAGCTCAAAAGTAGGCAAAAATGGTTTACTCAAAGTAATCCTAGGTTGAATCTGGGTCAAGTCCTTAAGGGAGTGCTGAGTTAAGCCAGATAATCTGAATACCAGTACCAAATCTCAAAAAATAGGTATGGATTCTTGAAAGGGAAACCAAATCAAGATCCAAGTGAAGGTAATTAGAAAGGAAACAAGCAGAAAGGGTACAAACTGTTTGCTGCAAATTGTCTCTGACTGTTTCTATGCTACTCGTGTAGGTTTGTAGTTACTTAGCTGTCTCACCTTTGCTTAAAAGTACCAGCCAGCCAGAAATTGAGTGGATTAGAGGCAAAAGGAGCATGGCTGCAGGACAGGAAGTAAAACATTATACCTGGAAGAAAAGTGACAACAGAGACCCCAGATGGAATTTCTTAGGGTTTTAAACTTGTGCCAAGTCAATTGAGAGATGCAATTATGTATGTGTATGTGATAAATAAGTTGTATCATAAAATGTTTTCTTCACTTTATGTTAGAAAATAGTGGAACATTTGAACACATATTCTAAATAGGCTATTCCATGGTTCCTATGTGGAAAGGTTTCCACAAAATGAAAATAAGTAAGAAAATTCATATGAATGTGAGTTCTAAATGAGACATTTCTTCCTTTTTTGATCTCTTAGGGATAATTGTAGTGAAATTTTAACCCGGAAAAGCAGCAGCAGGAATTCCTCTAAGAGAAATTTGTACTTGAAAGCTACCTCAGAGGTTCCCCATACCACCTTAGTGGCCATTCTTTGAGGGCAGAACTGGGTTGCTGTGAGGTGCTAGGGAGATAATGTGTGTGATGGTGTCTTATAAGCGTAAAGCACTGTACAGCTGGCAGCTGTTGTGTCCTTAGAGTCCAGTGCCCTCTAACTCTTGCCTCTTTCAGATTTCTTCCTCTGACTTTCCTATTTCTATATACAGTGGCACTATTTTCAATCTCTATACTCATTCTCTGTATTAATCTCTAATTCCAACTTTGTTTGATTCTTTGAGGCATTTTGTAGATGTTACCTCTTTTATGAAATCTTTCCTGATTCCACAGCAACTAGTTATACTTTCTCCTTTTTTTCCTCCCTTTCCCCTGTTGTACCAATTATCAGTTTATATTTTTGTTTTGTTTTTCTTTTGCATACATATGCATCTGTTATAATACCACATATTTGTTCCTTTAAAAAACCACATGTTCTACAAAGTCATGTACTAAAAATAAGGAAGAACTATAGGAAAATAGGAATATAAGCAGGCCACTTAAAATCTGTACAGCTAGCCAGGCTCTGTGGCATGTGCCTGTAATCCCAGCACTGGGGAGGCTGAGGCAGGAGGATCGCTATGAGTTCAAGGCCAGCCTGAACTATGTAGAGAGACCTTGTCTCAAAACAAAACAAAAATCTATCAAACTGAAAAATAAGAGGGCCAGGGATTTAGCTCAGTAGTTTTGCCGCCTGCTGCACAAGTGCAAGGACCCGAGTTCGATCCCCAGTACCAAAAAAATAAAATAAAATAAAAAATAAGAAATCTATATAACGTTGTAATCAAAGCACTAATAAAAATAATCCTAATAAAATATTAGCACAGTTAAATCTCTACAAGCAGTTCTGTTATGTACTGTATTGATTGAAATAGAAATAGTATCTGTTCCTTATTTCACCAGGGAAATAACAACTTAGCCTGTTAAAAAAAAAAGGAAGACTAGGGGTGTAGCTTAGTGTTAGAGCACTTGCTTAGCATACACAGGCCCTAGGTTCAATCCCTAACACTGTGGTTATTGTTTGCTTATTTATTTATTTATTTATTTATTTATTTATTTTTGGCAGTCAAACTCAGGACCTTATGCTTGCCAGGCAGGCACAGTGGCACTGAGCTAAATCCCTGCCCCTGTTTTTATTTTTAAAACAATGAAACATCATTACTTCCTTTCCATTTGCACTTACCCCTTCCCCCCATAGCTTAACATAATGGAAAGTATAGTAGCTCTTAAAGCTACACAACTAGATACTTCCTGCAGGAAATACTTTTGTGGGATTTTTGTTTTTTCATTAACATATTGATAAAGCTTCCTTTTTAATAGCAAGGAGGCCCACCCATGTTGGAAAAATTACATGTGAATCAATACACCTTCCATGTCACATTGATACTGTTTCAATATTTACCAGTCTCCTAGACCTAAAGTACATTGAGAAAATCCTTTTTTCAGAATGGATTATATTTGTTTCATCTCTCTTTGCTCCATTGTCTGAACTCACTGGGACAGAAGTTGGCTCTAACTGATCAATATTTCTCCAGTAGTGCCTGTCCTAGAGCACATAGAGACTCAAATGTATTTATTGGTTTGAATTAAATTAATTGTTCTGCTGAATAATACTGTGTGTACTATATTATACTATACTGAAGGCCCTTACTGTGAGGATGACAGAATCTAAACAAGATTTATTATGGGCCCCTTTGCTGTCAATACTTGCATTTTAAGATTATAAATGCTAACTTTAGAGATGACATGCTATTACACACATGTCTCTGTGCACCATGTCAAGAAATTGTTATTTCTGACGCTTCCTAGAGATTAAGCCTAGTGCTATGCAAAACTGTATCAACCTGTCTCCATTTCGATGTTTAATCACTACACTTAAGAGAAAACAAGAGAGTTTTGCAAGTCAACTATTGTATGCTCTATTGATTAAAGTAGTGGAAAAAGTATATATTCATTATTCCAACAAAGAGATGATAATTTAGGCTATTTAAAAGAAAAAACTACCCTTTCTTAAGCTCATTCTTTTCCTAAAGCAATAGGAATATATTGCCTTATTTAATTCTTACTGTGGGCAAAAGGCAGTTAATGACTTGTATATTGTCATAAAAGTTATCTTAATCATGAACTCAGATGTGTTACTACCACTCAATAGCTATTAGATCTAAGGGATTATACAAGAGATCACTCAAGTAAGGGTAATAAATACTAGTTTTATCCTTCTTCAGAATGTAAAGAGGCTCCTGCAGAACCCTAAAGTGACAGAGTTTGATGCTGCCCGCCTGGTAATGCTTTATGCTTTACATTATGAGCGACACAGCAGCAACAGCCTGCCAGGCCTCCTAGTGGACCTCAGGAATAAAGGTGTTTCTGAGAAGTATCGAAAGGTAACTAAATTTATATATTAATCCCAGCAAACAACCAATTCTGTTATAGTCTTACATCCAACAAATGATAAATCATATTTTTTTAAGAAAGTACACAGAAATGTGTAATTCTGTCTTTTCACATCTTTAATAAAGTTATTATTTATGCTGGACATAGTGGCGCATGCCTGTAATCCCAGCACTTAGGAGGCTGAGACAGGAGGATTGCCGAGAGTTCGAGGCCAGCCTGGGCTACATAGTGAGTTCAAGGCCAGCCTGCACTACATAGTGAGACCCTGTCTGAAAAAAACAACAGTCATTATTTATGAAGCAAACTCCTGATCCTAAGCAATAAAAGACTATCTCTCCCCTCCCCTTTTTCTTTTTCTTTTTATAGCTTGTGTCTGCAGTTGTTGAATATGGTGGCAAACGGGTTAGAGGAAGTGATCTTTTCAGCCCCAAAGATGCTGTGGCTATAACCAAACAGTTCCTCAAAGGATTGAAGGTATAGACATCTCCTTTCTGCTTTCCTAAGTGAGAAACAGTTAAAGCTCCTGAGACTGAGCCTGAATAAATATGATCTTCCAAGTCTCTTCAGGGTTGCTGCTGGTTTCAGTTAAATGAAATGAAAGCAGTACCCTCATAAGCATTTTCTTTTAGTAGTTTCTGTATTGACCACTATCAGCATTGGTGCAAAGAGCTGAGCGAGCTGGGGATTTAGCTCAGTGGCTCCACTGCCTTCCTCACAAGCTCAAGGACCCAAGTTTGATCCCTGGTACCAAAAAAAAGCAAAGAGCTGAGCAAGGAAATAACTGGAATTATTCGAGGAAGTACTCAAGGGCAGAAGGACAGTTTCATTAGTTACAGCTATTTTTTTTTCATTTGTTTATAATTTAAGATTTAGGTAGGCATCGCTTCTCGGCCCTTTGGCTAAGATCAAGTGAAGATTTAGGTAGTTTCTCTTTGAAAATTAAAGAGAAAATAAAAATTTATTGATCTTTTAAAAATAGTAACTTACTTTTTTAATGGTTAAAAATTAGTTTTAACATACTAGCCTTTCTTACATTCCCTGAAGTGCTTCTACTTTCTTGTATTTTTTGTTTTGTTTTTCTGAGACAGGGTCTCGTTCAGGCTGGCCGGGAACTCCCAGTGATCCTCTCATCTCAGCCTCCTGAGTGCTGGGATTACAGGCGAGCATCACCATGCCTGGCTCTTATGTGTTTAAAATCCCCCTTTTTATACAATCTTTCCTTTTGTTTGCTTTATCTATCATTTACCATTTTCACAAAGAAATAAGACTCATTGAATACATGATAAAAGATGTAAGCTATTTCAGTTTTTAAATTCCTTTATAATAGCTAGTGTGAAATTTAGTATTTTTATAAAATTGGAGCATTTCTGTTTGATTAAAGTAATTTTTTTATCCTAAATTCCTGTTCGAATCTCTACTGAGTGTATGACCTTTTCTAATCTATGAGTATATCTCAAAATGATATAAGAACCATTTCCCCCTGTTTTAGGGAGTAGAAAATGTATATACACAGCATCAGCCTTTCCTGCATGAGACCCTGGACCATCTCATCAAAGGGAAGCTTAAGGAAAGCCTCTATCCTTATGTAGGCCTCAGCACACTGAGAGACAGGTAAGGCAACAAAGATGCTAATAACAAAAACCAGAAACCCTGAGGGAGTAGGAAATTTAGAGTAATATTAGAGACAAACACTGCAGTTATACCATTCTGCCCCACCTCCCTCTTTTGTTTCATTCATTTGGTTTTACATGTCAGTGTTCCACTGCTAAGCCTGAGACATTTTCTTGCTTTGGAATATATTTTAGTATATGTGCTGCCAAAGCAAGCACTTGCTTTGGAATACAGAAACAGGTGTTGTGGAGGCCCCCAAGTCCTTGTATTCTGTATTTTAGTAGTATGTCAGTTTACTTATGCCATTTAAGGTTCAGTTCGATGGCATCTGGCATTTGGAGTTTCAAACATCAGAGCCAAAAATAGATTTACTGCTTGCTTGCCATTAGGAGCAGGTTGTTACTATTTTTGGTGAGGACTGGACTTTGCCAAATGTGGCCAGCACACAAACTGAGAGACCCAATTAGCAAAGGCCATTTGTTACACAGGAGAAAGGGATGACTTGCTTTTAGCTGTAATTTTAATACAGTGGTTAATTTTAATTAAAAAAAGAAACTTGTCCAGAACAACTTATTTGGCCCAACCTGAAATTTTAAATGCAAACAAATTGTACTTAGTTAAAAATTCCATTCTTATATTTTTTTATTTGGAGTGCATATTATAAAGGGCCTAACATATGTAACTGAACCATCCCGTGTAATTTAATGTGAAAATTTTACTGTTGGTATAATTCTTCTATTGTTTCACCTAATGATAATCTAACAGCTTAGATATGTAGAGTTTTATATGTAAATGAATGTCTAAAAGGGGAAAATATTTTAAGGTTCATTGATTACTCTTTTATATCATGAAGTAAATTTTTTCACTTTGTCCCTTTTTAAAATCTTTCTGTAATTTGGTACAGAATAGAAAAATAATCAACTTTTAAAAGACTAAGGTTGAAAGGCTAAACATCTGTTGTTAGAGTACATTCACTTTGATAAGATGTTTAAGGACCTTAGCATCAAGATTCAGAAATGTCAGCCAGGATTATAAGCCTGTAATCCCAGCACTCAGGAGGCTGAGGCAGGAAGATCTCAGGTTCAAATCCAGCCTGTACTACATAACAAGATCCTGTCTCAAAGAAAAAAAAGAAAAAAAGTTAGCTAAGTAGGAAGAATGAAAACCAGCCCAAGTTATTCACCTGAGAAGATTTTTGAAAAACAACTCTAATCTTGAGGCTTTTAATTAATTTGATAAAATCATTAATTTGCTTATGGATTCCATATAAGAATTACTGAACAAGAAATTAGTTGCAGTGAATACTAAAGTGAAACCATAAGCCAGGCATGGTGGGGCACACTGGTAATCCCTACTGCTTGGGAGGATAAGGGAAGAGGATCATAGATAAGAGGCCAGCATAGGCAATTTAGCAAAACTTGTCTCAAAATTTAAAAAAAAACAAAATTAAGGGGTGGAGATACAGCTCAGTGGTAGAGCACTTAGCTTATCTCGTATGCACATACGGTAGTCCTTGGTTCAATCCTCAGTACCACAAAAAAAACCCGCAGACTAGAAGAATTTATGATGTATAATTAGTGCACGACAGCAGACCTTTCTCAGTTGAGCGATTCATTCCCAAACAAAGCTCAAAATAACGCTCTTCCCCCAAAATGCACAATTATCAGTAGTTGGCATCTGTTAGTATTTGTCACTATAACCTAGATATGTATGTAATTAATAATTCATTTGCTTGATCCTTTAATAGAGCAGATGTTTAGTGAGTGCCTTCAGTATGTCAGCTGTTGTACATGCTGGGGGTGGGGTACAGATGTAGCAGGAGAGACAAGGTACCTGCCCTCAAGGAACTTAGGTGAAGGAGACAAAGTAAGCAAGTAAACAGACATCTTGAGTGTTAAAAAGAAAAGATAGTAAGGTGCAAAGTAACTGTGGGAGTAGGGGGGGCAACTTTAGATAAGGAGAACCTCTCCAAGGAGGTGATATTTAATATCGGTTTTGAATTACTAGAAAGCCAAAAACAATGATTAGGACTGAAAGCCTCCCAAGCAGAGGGAATACCAGTGTACAGGCCTTGAAGAAAGGAAGAACTTGACATGTCTGCAGGCCAGAAAAAAGCCCTGTATGGCTGGAGTATGTATAGTAAGGAAGGAGGAAATAGAGGTCAAAAAGATAAGTGGGGGCTCTATCACATAGGACCTTGAAGTCCCTGGTAAAAAGTTTCGGTTTTTTCTCTTTATATTTGTTTTAAACTAATTTTTTTATTTTAATCGACTATAATTATTTCTTTTTTGTTGTTGTTGTTGTTTTTTGTTTTTTTGAGACAGGCTCTTGCTTGGTAGTTCAGGCTGGCCTTGAGCTCACTGTGTAGCCCAGGCTGGCCTCAAACTTGCAGTGATCCTGCCGAGTGCGAGGGTTACAGGCATGCACCACCATGCCCAGCTAAAAAGCTTTTGGTTTTTGTGATTTTTAAAAATATCATAGAAAGCCATCAAAGAACTATAAGTGACATGAACTCAATTATGTTTTAAAAGATCACTTTGTGGGGAGAATGGATTATCGGAGGCAAATATAAAAGCAGGGAGACTACTGAGGGAGGTTGCTGCAATAGTCCAGGCAAGAAATGGAAAGTGGTTTGAATAGGAGGCTGAGAAAAAAGGTAGAATCAATGGATTTATTAATGGAGCAGAGTGATAGAACAAGGGTAAGAGAGAAGTAAAGAGTAACTGTCAGGTTTGGAAAGACAGTGTTGTTAAGTTGGAGATTCCTGTTAAATAACCAAGTAGAAATACCACAGACTGGTAGTTGACAAGACATTAGTGATATTTAAAGCCATTGGACTAGATAAAATCACTTAAGGAAAAAGCATAGAAAAAGCAAGAATATTGCTCAGAACCAAGCACTGAGTAGAATATAGGAGCCAGCAATGGAGACTGAGAAGACACCAGACACTAGAAGGAAAGCCAGGAGAGACAGCATGGCATCATAAAGACAAGGGAATGCTGTGTCCAGTCTTCCAAGAGGTGAAGCAAATGAAGTAAGAATTTATGAGATTTGGCAATATCAGGGTCTTTGATGGTCTTATTCCCCAGTTTCAATGAGGTTGAAATCCAAATCAGAAAGATTTATAAGATATAAAATAAAATGGAGACATGCATATACTGTAATACTTTTTAAGAAGTTTACATAAAGAGGGCAGAGAAATGGGATGGTATCTAGAAGAGATTGTGAGTCCAAGAGACAGATATTAGAGCATATTTGTAATCTGATGAGAACTGTCTCATAAAGGAGGAGGAGGAAGGAAAAGAGGAAGAGTAGGAATGAAGTCCTTAAGGGATCCAGAACACAGAGGGCTTCCCTTTGATAGGAGCAGCATTACTGCTTTCATTTTGACAGGAGAGGGAAAACAGAACATACATAGATACAATAGGTTTATAATTTTGGTGGTGAGAACATGAGGCCATCCTCTGATTTTTTTCAATAAAATTTGATGCCAAGTTATCAGCTCAGTTAAGGGGTGAAAGAGAAAACATTGTGAAATCGTCATCTTATAGGCTAAGAATCTAATTTACTATATAAAACAAGTCAACTTCTAGGCAAGGTTGAGTACCCATTATTAGTCATTAATATTTTTTTCAGTACTGGAGATTGAACCCAGTACCTTTGCAGTGAGCTACATCCTCAGCCCTTTTATTATTTTTAATTTTGAGACAGGGTTTTGCTCATTTGCTAAGTTGGGCTCAAACTTGCAATCCAAGTACAGCCAGCAAACCTAGTTGTGTGGTTTCCTCTAGCAACTATTAGCTATGTTGGGTTTAAAGTAGAGAAGGCACATAGTTAGACCCAACTAGGAATGTGAAAAATGATAACAGGAAGAAAGTGTTGGTGAGTAGACTGGAAATTGATGAGGTCAAAGAATTATTATGGTAGGGTATTAGCATAGGTGAATTAGAAGTTCAGAGTGGTTAATGGAGAAGATCTTTTATTCAGAATTTTGTAGGTGACTTGTAATGAAATGTTTAGGTTGTAATTGTGATGTGGGCTGTCCAGGAGAGGAAGAGATAAATGTGGGTGTGGGCATAGAATTAGATGAGGAATCCACATTGATGTTAAAAGTCTCTGAAAGTCTTGAAAAGAGAAGAAATAAAAAGGAAGACAGTAAGCGAGAGGTAAAGTCTTTAGGGAATAAGAATGACCATAAAAGGAGGTCAGGAGGAAACAGTGCAACTATATTATGAGCTTCTAAAACAGTGGAAATTTTGAAGGAGGAAGGCGAAGAAATGGTTGTGACACTACATTGAGGGGCATAGAAGATACCCACATCACCTCCTGCCCTGCTTAACAGAAGCAAGACTGCAAAGGACTCAGAAAAGATTCCTACTTAACACTACCGCTTCTGAAAGTTTACCATATAGATATATTTGCACAAGTACACAAAGATATATAAATAAGGATGTTCACTGAAACATTTATAGTAGCAAAATCTGGGAACAAATTAACTATCAATAGAAGACTAGTTACCTAAATTACTACTAGGCATAAATTGCTAGGCATTCTTTTTTTTAAATACCCTAACTCTTCACAAGATGATATATAAAACTTATTCGGGTATATTAGAAAGAAAAGCAAGGTGCTATCATATCACTTTTGTGTAAAAAACATGACTATAGGGGCCGGGGATTTAGCTCGGTGGTTCCGCCACCTGCCTTGCAAGCGCAAGGACCTGAGTTCGATCCCCGGTACCAAAAAAAAAAAAAAAAAAAAAAATGACTATAAGCATAAACATGGCCATATACATATATATATATATATGTTTGCCATACCTATACACATGACGTGTATGTTATATATGTGTGTGTGAATGAGCACATATATGTATTTTATGTTAACTTTCTGAAAGAATAAACAACAAAATTTTAATAGTCATATGGAGACAGTAGTTAATTATATACTTATCTATCCTTCCTGTTAGATATTAGGTATTACAGTAGTGAAGTCAGAAT